GAAAAGATTTATATTACTAACAGATTAATTTACTAGTTAAAACATCACTCAGCTTTCTCTTGATCCCACTATATACCCTCCCCCTTTCTAATTAAGCGAAATATCTCTCCTTTTTAGGAGAGGGAATAAAGCTTTTAAATAAAAAAACATATTTATTTCCTTCTTGTAGCCACGAACTTACGTTACTCTTTGCGCCTTTGGGTGGGTGCCTTCGGTAGGAAGCACTTCTCCGCTGGCATTTTATTCTATTTCTGCAGAATGTACAGGCCCTATAGACATCTTTGGCAGAGAGAGGGGCCCAAGCGGGTTACATCGACTCGATCTGCTGAACCGTGAGATCCAGGAAGGTGTTTTCATTCCGCACCCCGATAAGGCTTTTGGGGCCTTTGCACCCCATGCTGGTGCCCAGGCCGCCATTCAGTTTCACTACGACCAGCTTGTTTAAAACCGAGGCGATGCTGTCGGGCAGTCCTCTCGCCTTGATCTTCTCGTAGGGCTGGATCTGTAAGGTAGGTGGGCAGCTTTATGAATCACTCTTGGGTTACGGGTGTATTTGCATATTCCATCAGAACAAAAATTACAGGTTTCTGAAAGCACAACAAAAATTTAAAGCTTTCCCCAGTCGGTCGCTTTCCTGCTCCAAGAAGAAAGTTCAGTTAGTTAGTGCATCGATACGGTCAACGACTGGCACAGACCTCAATACACAATACACAGTGTGTCAAAATTATAAATTAATCAATAATAAGGTAAAGGTTTCCCTTGCTCGAAAGCCAGTTGAATCTGACTCTAGGGATGCAGTGCTCATCTCCGTTTCCAAGCCAAAGAGCCAGCGCTGCCCGAAGACATTTCCGTGGTCATGTGGCCGGCATGACTAGATGCCGAGGCACACAGAAAGCTGTTACCTTCCCACTGAAGCGGTACCTATTTATCTACTTGCAATTTCTTGCTTTCGAACTGCTAGGCTGGCAGGAGCTGGGGCCAGAGACGGGAGCTCAGTTTGGTGTAGTGGTTAAGTGCACGGACTCTAATCTGGGAGAACCGGGTTTGATTTTCAACTCCTCCACTTGCACCTGCTGATGTGACCTTGGGTCAGTCACAAGCTCTGACACAGCTGTCCTTGAAAAAGAGCAGTTTCTGTCAGAGTTCTCTCAGCCCCACCCACCTCACAGGGTGCATGTTGCAGGGAGGGGAAGGGAAAGGAGTTTGTAAGCCGCTCTGAGACTCCAAGTGAAGGGCGGGGTATAAATCCAATCTCCTCCTCCTCCTCCTCCTCCATCATGCAGCACTCGGGTCTCGAACTGCTGAACTACCGACCTTCCCATCTGCAGTTCAGCGTCTTAACCACTGAGCCACCGCAGCCCCGCAAATCAATAATAAACCAATAAATAAATAGATGAGCTATATAAAATGATTTAAAATAGATAATTACAGATTGAAATGAATATTGTTATACATTTGGTGCGCTGCATAGAATATCTTTGTGGATTTTATGAGCAGCTGCAAAAAACTTTCCACAGGAAGCTGTGGCCTGCAAATTGACGGCCATGATGCCTTAAAAACCCAGAGTCCGGGAACCTTCTATGCAGAGGGAGAATAAACATATTTCCTGATAGAACCCCTTGTGTGAACCGGGAACTACACTCTCGGTTCTTCTGCCACAGCCTGGTAGGGCTCAAGGTCTCAAGCTGGCAAAGAGCAACCTGTTTCTCTCTATCAACATTCCAAGTACTTTACGCTTAAAAGCTCACCTCTTCAGTCTCCGGTTCGCCTCTGGGAAAAGGGAGGGAGGCACCCATTAACAACGCTGTTCCACAGTTCAAGTCTTGAAAGATCTCAACAGAATTTATTGAAGATGATTACAAAAGAAAAGTTACTACTCACTGCACCCTAGCAGTGAGTATCAAACGCACAGACATTCACAGAGTTTCCTGCTCCCTGGCCCCTGTAGCCTGGAAAGTAAGGTAAGGTCTCTGCAGAAAAACATTGGATATTAAACTGTCTGCCCCCCCTACTCAAGGCCAAGTAGCTAATTATTATTTGCAGCTGTGGAGTTCTTAAAGAAAAAGGCAAAAACTCCGAGGTCTTCTGCTAACAGTTCACGGGGCTGGAGCTGAAACCACTTAGAGTGTCTATTTCAAATTAACCATCTAAAAGTGAAAAGAGAAGCATATGCTGCTTCCATACACCCCCCCCCACGCAGAAGGCAAGTGAGTCAGTCATTTGCTTTTCTGCTATTTAAAATAGTAATATCATAATCTTTATATAACTTAAAATAACAGCATTTCCTAAGATGTATACACTTGCACAATTATATCTCAAGTATTATACAATTTAATAAAATAACTAGTTACAAAACTCAAAGCAAGACCAATTTTCATAACAATATTCGCCAGCTTCTCAGAATTCAGTATGGCACCTTGAAAGAGAGTCTGCCAAGATGTTATCTCTTCCTCGGATGTGCATGATTTCAAAGGACAGATCTTGTAGTGACAATGCCCACCTCAGGATTCTGGAGTTTGTCTCTTTCATTCTGTGAATGAATGTTATTGGGCTGTGATCTGTCTCCAGGTAGAAATGCGTTCCCCTGAGATACGTTTTTAACTTATTTAGCCCCCATACTACCCCCAATGCTTCTTGCTCTATGACACTATACTTCTGCTCCCTAGGGAGTAGTTTGCGGCTCAAATACACCACAGGGTGGAGACACCCATTAGAGTCCTCTTGCATCAGGACGGCACCTATGCCAGTCCTGCTCGCATCAGTTCTGACAAGAAAAGGTTTAGTGTAAT